CTCACCAATATAGATTTTGTTCTTGGGATATATAAAATTCTTTTTCTAATGACACCTGTCCAATTATCAAATTAGAAATTTTCCAAATTGTCTTACATGTTTACTATTTTGTTAAATTCTCATCCAACTTTACTCTCCCTATATATATATATATATATATATATATAGTGTGTATATATATAATGTGAGAGAGTGTATGTGTGTGTGTTCTATTAAATGACTGCAGAGAGTTATTGTAGATATGAAGTGGAGTTCAACATTTTGTGTTGCTAGAAAGATTAATTTAAAAAATTTCTGTATCTTTTAAACTTCAAAGAGTTTTATTTAACACTGCCAGCAGCAATGTGTTTAACAGAAGATTCTCTTGCCCAAAGTTAGACATAGAGAATGTACTGAAATTGATAGTGATTTATGCAAATTAAGCTAAATGTTTAGCAGCAGCATATATCTGCTACCTTCTTGCACTGACTGTTAGATTAGCAAAGATGGAATAATTTTGTTGATAGTCTAAGTGGGGGAACTATTCCTGCAACAAATGTTATTTATATATACTTATCTGTTTGATATCCGAGGCTTAGATTTAATAAACAAAGAAATCAATGCTTTAATGATTAGTAACATAGCAAATACTAAAAGCATATATAGATATGTATTGTAAATGATTTTACTATAGATATGCATTATAAATATTTTTACAATACAATGTACTATAATGCCCTGTTAGCTGGGGCTGTAGAATATGCCGACTGCACCTCTGCAGTAAGGTAAGACCTCCCCCACAATGGGGTGTCCTGGGTATGATGATAAACTACATCCGTGTCCTGGGTAAGATGATAAACTACGTCCAGCAGCAAGGCCTCTGATCAGGAAGTTTTGACGAGCGTGGAACCACCTCTTAATTGCTGGTGTTCCCAGGTCCACCCTGACTCGAGGTGGTAGCACTTGTTAGCCCAGTTTCGGAGTTAACTATTTGCCCATAGCTGGGACCCTAACAGGTGCTGTTGGACGTAGTTTATCGTCTTACCCAGGATGCAGATGCAGTTTATCGTCATACCCAGGATGATGTCATTACTGTGGTTACCTAACCCTAGTGGAGAGGATGCAAAGGAAGGACATTTTCTTTTGCAAGCCTGTCATTCACCACCTATTTCCATGCTGGTTTTTCAGTCAAATTCATTTTCAACCACTTTACACATCATGTCTGTCTGGCTACATCTGCGTCCTAGGTAAGATGATAAACTACGTCCAACAGCAAGGCTTCTGATCAGGAGGTTTTGAGGAGAGTGGAACCACCTCTTAATTGCTGGTGTTCCCAGATGCACCTTCACCTGGGGTGGTAGCACCTCTTAGGGTCCCAGCTATGGGCAAATAGTTAATTCTGAAACTGGGATAAAAAACACTATGAAAGTGTAAAAATAGGTTTTAATACCAGAAATATTTGTAAAAAATTATTATCAGCAATAAATTTTTGAAGAAAAAAAACTATTACCAGCAATCCATTTTTGAAAAAAAAAATTACCAGCTATACATTTTTGAAGGAAAAAATTATTATCAGAAATAGATTTTTGACAAAACAAAATATTACCAGCAATAAAAATTTTGTTGGCATTAAATAACCCATTGAGGTTGATATGCCGTAAAACAAACCAAACCAATCAAAATATATGTATACATATACACCTTTTTTCACCAAACTATCACTATGAATCTATTTTAAAATTCTGTTGGCATTAAATGACCCACAGAGGTTGATATGCCATAAAACAACCAACCAACAATGTACTATAAGTGATTTTACTATAGAAATTGGAAAACGAGACAAAATGGACAATGAATGCTTAGGAATACAGGCAAGACCTACTAATTGTATAAGAGGGTGCTGAAAAGTTCTGGACCATCTGCATTTATTCAAAAAATATTCAACATTCAATGATCAAACATAAGAACATTGATTTTAGGAAGTGGGTCAGGCTAAAAACGCTTCAACGTCTCATTCTCTCCCTCTCATACATACATACATACATACATATATATATAGTGTCAGATAATTGAGAAAAACAATGACATTCAATAGAAAAATCAATGAATTTTCTCCCCAAAAGAAATGTCTATGCTCAACTTAGAAAAGCAAAATAATTATACAATGAAATTACTCTCAGCCTGAAGGATGTCCTTTGATGCAGCCTGAGAAATGACATCATGTCCAAATCAGATGGTTCATAGTTTATGTTGGCTATTACATCCACAATGGTGGCCTTCATTTGTCGAGCAGCTGGTTAATCTCCCTCTCAACCATCTAATCCCAAGTTACATGGTCCACGTAGGAGAGAACAGAATTCAGTTGGAGTTTGTAAAACCACCCACTTGATCCAGGAGCCCCAATGTGGCTTTACAGGAAGAAGTAGAGCAGTACGACATAGTTGTCATTGTTCATGATTCCAGGATATAATTACAGGCAATATGAACATATGGTTTGCATATCACTGTAGATAAATGCTTTGAGTCACCAGAGTCATTCCTTTTCTTAAAGAAGTTCACCCTCATCATGTTGCTGTAGTTGATATCTACTGTCATATTCCTTTTCATCTCTTATCTGGAATCTGCTATGTTAATGTCCTTGATATGCTTGCAAGAGAAATGAGAATCTTACAAAAGTTATCGTGTAGTATTACATTAGGCTGTTTTTTATTTATGGGTTGCTAAACATGCTCTCAAATACCTACTACACCCTCTTTACACACACACACAGCAACCCATAAATAAAAAAACAGCCTAATGTAATACTACATGATAACTTTTGTAAGATTCTCATTTCTCTTGCAAGCATATCAAGGACATTAACATAGCATATATAATCTTTAAAAAGTTTGATTAAATTCAATAAAACCAGACAGGTCTGTATTTTTTCATTTTTTTGCATAGGCTGTGGCATATTCAGATCCATTCTGGATAAACTGTTTAAAATCCATGTTTTGTTCTGACTTTTTGTTTGAGTATTTTTGACGATTGTCATTATCAAAATTGAAATGTTTTCAGTCTCATGGCAGAAAACTTTGTTAGCTCCTGGTATTTTTTTTCAAATTTAAACATTTGGTTGATATATTGTGTAAGAGACATGTGTTGAATTTTTTCACAAAGTTTGACAACTCCAGAAAATGAATGTATTAAATATTTTATACACATTTTGAAATAGCATCTATTCTGGTGAAAGATATTTAATGCAACTTTCTTCACAGCAGTTGCTACTAAGTATTTTGGTATTATCTAGTAATATTTGTATCATGTATGTGAATTGCACATGTCTATTTTATGCAAATAATATATATATATATATATATATATATATATATATATAGTGTTTCTTTTTTAAATTATTTTTTAAAGTTATTTTCCTTAATATTAAGTTGATAATTGAGTCTATGACTTTTAATAGTAATTGTACTTGTAAGTTCTCCATTGGCTAATTTCTTGTATAGCATAAATGACAATTCTTTCCAGTAGTGAGTTTACAGTTCTTCAATATTCTTCTAAGCAGCCTTAGGAAAAATATTTCAATAATAAAATTATCCATGAAAAGGAAATTGTTAGTGATGCTAAAATTGACTGAGGCATCACTCAATATCATTTCGGTTGATAATATTCTTATATTATTATTTTCCTGAGATGAATACACTATTTGCAGCTCAGAATGAGAAAAATCAGATTCAAGTCTTAATTCCAGTCAGGTTTATTACATTTACTTACATGCAAAAAAAAAAATAATTATTCATACAATGGTTATGGTTAGATTTTTACACTTTTGGTTTAATGAATCAGTTTGAAATGAAATTGGAGATAGCAAACCTGCTGGACTATGGATGTTGCTGGATTAAAGACATACAACCTGTATAACTATCTCTTCTGTACCTGCATTATAAGCTCCAATGCAGGTCTTGCAATTTACTGTAGGCAAAATCAAGAAAAAAAAAATTGGCTGCAGCCACCTTCTCCAACCAAATGAATTGGTTAAATAAAAGAAAGGAAATATTGTCAAAATATAAATGCAAGATATTATGTATTAATGCTTCTGGCACCATTACAAGCTCACCGCTGGATAAAGACATTTCTTAACTCTTTTTATGACAACTGTGATTGTGCTAATCTTTCTCATGTCTTATTAGCAAAACCCTCAATTTCATCTTGCTACTACATTTGTTATCTATTGTGCACCAATCAAGCAACCTTTTGCTCCATCTGTTAACATTTCTTTTTGTTAAGTGTCCTACCAATCCCTTTTGTTTGTTTAATCAATTCTATATCTCTTATCTTCATCACTTCTCTGAGTATATCATCCTATTTCTGCCTCTTAAAGATATCCTGAGTTTTGTCTTTGTTTTTGAAAGCAATTTTATTAATGTCCATGCTTCACACAAATGCACAGATCATAGCTGACATTATACATTCAGTTTATGTTTTGTTTGAAGAATTTTGACAAGCTGTTTTTCATTATGTCAGACAGAACCAAGATCAAAACTTGTAGTATTTATAAAATTTTAAGAATTGTAAAATTACTGCAAACACTTAAACATCAAATAGTTTGTTAATGCAGAAAGTGATGAAGATGAGATGATTTTCATGTCAGCATTCAAATAAATAAAAACTTTGCTTACATTAGGTTCAAATAAAGTCAATGTCAAACGAGTCATGATTATTCTCAGATTGTGATGTGTCACTCTCAGTGATAATTATCATGAATGACATTGGGGACAAAAATCCTACCTATGATATTAGATTATATAAACAGCTAATTATAAATATTTACAAAGATTTATGCCAGGCCAAATGGGTAGGAGGAGAAGGAAGATTGAGTTACATAAATTTATCAGAGTCAAAATTCAGCGAACAAAATTTTGTTTTTTCTCCTTAGTGCAGACACTGTGCTTTAGACAAAATGAAACTCTCTTATGTGTGATTTGTCATTTCAGGAACTGCCACCGACACAACTACCTGAAGTGTTTGGCATGCATGACAATGTAGACATCACCCGTGAACTACATGAGACACAGCAACTCTTTGATTCTGTTCTGTTGACCCTTGGTCAAGGGGACGGAGGAATGTCAGGACAAACGGATGAAACTCTCTTTGAAATTGCCACAGATATTTTAGCTAAGGTCTGTCTCTTCACTTTTTATTTTTACTTGACCATTTCCTCTTTGCAAAACATTCTGATTATTATACAAGAAATTACTTCTATAAGTTTCTTCACTATTGGAATATTTATCATAATTTTCCAGTCAAATTTTTTAAATATGCAAAGATTATATGCATTGTGTCAGAATTTATTATACAACTTAGTTTTCACAATAAAATTATAAGAACATTGGCTGAAGATACAAAAAGCAATCAAACTATAAAACATATAAACATCACAAAGCGAAACACAAGGAATAATGTATTGGGTTAGTATTGTAGAGATACCTTCAAAATTGATGAGGATTCAAGGTAAATGCAAAAAAAAAAAAATATATTGTAACTCACATGCAAAAATATTCCATATTCCAGCAAAACATTTGTTCTTTCACATTTTAGAAAGTTGATTATCACTTACCTTACTGGTTTCAAATATACCCAAGATCTCCAGCAATTAATCCAGTAAAATTTTGTGATCCAACATTAAAAGATATATTATGTATATGAGAATGGAAAACAATATTTAAGTAAAGAATATTTTTTTGGAAGTCAATAAAAACTACTGCAATTAATGTTAAAGACTAAACAGTAGAAAAGTTAATGAAATTCAACAGTTAAAAAAAAATGAAAAATGTTGTTGAATATTAAGGAGATCATTTAAGCCTGTAAAATAACAAAACAATCTACTTAAGTTTATGGGACACTGGGTTATACAAATTTTCAGTTCTGTTACCACAAACTTTGCATCATATAAAGTTTGTAGGTTGCAACTAATACAACCACTCTAAATAAAGCAATTGAAATTAAGAGAAAAGAAATACTAAATAAAAAATAATCTTTAACAATGCTTCATCTAGTAATAAAACTTCAAGATAATACTATTCCTACAAATAGTATATGTGTGTAAGTAATTCAAATGGAATACTAGTTAATAAATTACTGAAGCTTAGCAGTTTCCTGTTCTTTTGTTTGTTTTATTTTTATCCTACTAATTTCAATCACAAATATTTTTATTAAGAAAATGTTATATTCTGTGTTGGTTCTTATTTTATGTTAGCCTGTTCTGTTTCAGCTAAAAGTGTTTTTGACTCAATCAACAGCAGAAAGTAAATCAGTTAAACTGTCTGTTCTGGCAAAAGCCCAATAAGTTTTCTCTTTGTTGAATTTGATAGGAAATAACTGACAGTCATTGATCAGAAAATTCCTTCTCTCACTTTACCTTTTTGTTTTCAGCTTACATAAGATAATCAAAAGTGACATTTAACCAATGTATTTACTTACAATCACAACACCTTTGTTACTAGTGCTGACCCCAAAATAAATACAAAACATTTACCCTAAACTTTATTGTTATTGCCCATCATAAGCAGTTACAGAAATAGGGGGAAAAACAATGTGAAAATTTAGATTAAAAATGAAAAGTATACCACAATTTTTGCCACTGTAATGGCAGCCATGTCGAACTGGGATGTTAATATTGCCTTATTTCTTGGTGTTTTTTTTTTGTTTTTTGTTTTTTTGTTGTTGTTTTATTTATGAAAAATCAATAAATCATCTGGCAACTGAGGATGTGTGAAGTGGTCAAATGGAAACACTTTTCAAGTTTTAGAAGAGGTGGAATGAACTTTCATCAAAGATGCCAAAATTCTAGTGCCTACCTATTAGCAAATGAACAGGAATTGTTAGCAATGTTGTCTTCAATTGGCAGACGGAAGAAGAGATTTCTGCATTTGAGCACAAAGACAAAAAAGAAATGTGATCAAGTAGAATTTAAGCTGTAGCAACTAAGAGCAGAGTAATTACATTGATATATATATATATATATATATATATATATATATATATATATATATATATATATATATATATGTGTGTGTGTGTGTGCACATACAAAATAAAATTAAGATTTATTAGATACATTGCTTGTGACATATATTGCAGCCAATCAGTAAGGACTTTATTATTTACTATAGAGAATTCATGTAAAAAACATAATTTGTACATATTTTGTGGGGCGAATACAAAAAACATATTTTATGATTTTATATTTATATGAATTTTTATAACATTGACTGTACTTATCTGTCAATCTATCCTTGGCAGATGTGCATGTTTATGCATCATTATAGGTGTATGATGCACATATGTACTTTGTGATTTCTATCAGAATGGATGCATATCAGCAATTATAAATATGTATATGTTCATTGCTATATGAGATAGATCTTCAGAGATACCCACATCCAACCATATAGACATTCATTCATATTCTCTCTCTCTCTCTCTCTCTCTCTATATATATATATATATATATAAGTGAAAATACAATATATTTCTAACATTTGTGGAAGAAATATATTTATATGTACATAAAATTTTTTGTGCATGTATATATGTTTTTTATCATACATATACCTATATATATATATATATATATATACATATACACATACCCTTTGGAAATTCATTTAGCAACTAATGATGCAATAGTGCAATTCAAAGACAACTGATTTTCTTTTCTTTTCACCAATTGATATAAAGAAAGAAGTCTTGAAGGCTACAGATTCCTTATCTAGAGCAGTGACAAATTGTTTCATAAGGCCCAGTTTTAAGTGTAGTGGAGGAAACTATACTTTCCAGGGGTTCAACAGTGGCTCCCATTTGACATTGTTCCTCCACCTACTGAACCATTGTTTGTTGTGGCTAAACCCACCTGTGGTAATGTGGTGTGGTGTCCCTGCTGTTCCAAAAGATAACACAGAAACTTTAAGAAGGCCAGCTGATAACTTCCCAAGTGGATGCTTACAACCTCTTGAAGCCATCTGTGACGAATATCTCTAACAACAATGATTTGTTTACCCTGGGACAGCTAGAAGTAAACTAAACTGTTGAGTTTACATTCCCTGTATTTATGCTGCCAGAACATTCTAGAAATTCTTGAAAATTTTAGAAACTTCTCCATCAGCAACTCAGTGCTGAATCTGTCTGGAAAATAAGCTTGTTTTAAAACCTCAATGTCCAGGTCACAAAAGGGAAAGTTTGAAGGAAATAATAATCATTTCCTAATTGTTTTCTAGACAAAAGCAATTAGGAAATAATACTGACCAAAGACAAAAAAAAAGTCAAATTTTTGGTACAGTTTAATTGTTCTTGAGCTGCTGACAGAATTTCTTGCAAGAAATTACTTTGTCTCAAGTCTTTTTACTCTAACAGTGAATTATTTCGAAACCAAAAACATTTTGTAGAATGATGATGAAGGCAATAATTGTTCTGTAGCATTTGATGAGATACCATATATTCTCAAGTATAGTGTGAGTTTTTAGGATCAGATTTTTACGCAAAAAATAGGGGGTCACACTATACACAGGTAGTTTTTTTTTTTTTTTGAAGAGGTTAAAAATCATGCATTTTCAGTGATCAGTTGCGCTATAGACAAGTAAACTTTTTTCTGGAGGGGGGGTTAAAATTCATGGTTCGCACTATAATGAAGCTGGCAACTATATACGGCATTATCTCAGTCACAAGTGATTAAAATTATTTAATACAGTTTTCTTTTTTTTTAACTTATATATTTTACTGGATTTCCTACTTGTAGACAAATATATAAATACATTGTAAATACATTGTATCTGTGTACAATGTGTTTGTATTCTGTAATGAATAAAGCCTTTTTGATAATCCTGGGCAATTCTAAATACTTTCAAACTTTGTCAATTTCTTCTTGATTTGAATTCTTTTAAATACTGTGTCAACCAAAAATATCTGTCAACCATTTTTTTTTTTAATACTTTCACACATTTATCTCTTATTTACATTATTCAGACTATTGTCCTCATCTTTGTCGTCATATTTATCACATTTTGGCCGTTGTACGCTCCAGCCTTCTTCAGGTGGTTGGAATTTCAAACTGAATCCTTTATTTCGCTCACTGGGGTACACTGTTCTAGTTCCCCGTGCTATGTTTGATGGATGTCAGTTATCAGTTATCTCCTGTTAATTTGTGATAAATATGGCGACAAAGATGAGGACAATAGTCCAAATAATGTAAATAATGTACATAATACCTCATCTCAGAAATATAGACAGACATTTATCTCTGTTCCTGTATATGTGAATACTTAAAAAATAAAATATTTTTTCACTTCCTCTTCTGCAAATCTTCCTGCCTTTAATGTTCACTATAAAAGATGATATTTAATATAAAGAAATAAAACAAAAATCTGGTATTAATTAAATGTTTCTCCATCCATTAAAGGCAATTGTCTCCAAAATCAACATTGATGGATTAATTTATAATGTTTTCTATTGAGGTTTCCTTGCACACTTTTTCTTTTAATCTTTTTTTTTTTTTTTTTTTTTTTTTTATAATTCTAACTTTCCACCTTTTTCTTTGAATTTTTCTTTTTAACTCTTTTCTCTTTTTCTCATCTTCTTCTCCATACCCACTTTCTTTTGACCCCTATTCTCCTCTTTATTTTTTCCTTCTCAACTCATTTGCATTTCATCTTCTTTCTTTCCACATTTAAATAATTCACAGAGTTCATAACTTATTTTACATGTAATCAAATTGCCAACAGATAATTAACCAATTCTTATCAACGAACATTCAGGCCGTCTGCAGACTTGCAGGAATCTCCAGTCTTCATTCTATAGTCCCACCTGATCTGCAATTGTTACAGCTTAATTCAGTCTTGCCACTAATCTTGGCAATGGATTTTACTGATTACTTTGTCCTGTTCTGATTATTGACCTGAACTTGTAAATCTTATCACAATCGCACTTTGATTATTTGCATTGCTGCACAAATTACTAAGAAAAAAGACACAAATAAAGATTTTCTGAGACATGGTAGAAAATCTCACTTCTCTTTTCTGCAATATCTTAAATTTGAAAAATAGTGTTCTAATGCTACCATAATATTTTAAAAAAAAATGTATTCTTTATCATGATGAATATATTTATAGATATTAACACTGCTTAA